TGGCAGATGCGAGGCGTGCATGCATTTGCGCGGTTCCCGTTTTCACGTGCGAAGGGATCAGCCAAGGCACCATTGGAGGTGGTGCACATGGACCTGGTGGGTCCTATGAGGACGGAGGGGACTGGGGAACTGCTGTACTTCCTCACCATGGTGGACGAATGGGGCCGTTTCACGTGTGCACGTCTCTGATCTAAGAAGAGCAATGCTGTAGCGGCAATCAAGGAGGATTGGTTGCCGATGGTGAAGCGGCAAGTGATGCGGCTGGTGAAGGTGCTGAGGAGTGACCGTGGTGGAGAATTCCTTGGAGCAGAATTCACCAAGTTTCTTAAGAGGAACGGCATCCGACACCAGCTGACCTGCTCTGGAACACCGCTGCAGAACGGCACTGCTGAGCATGCCAACCGGACCATTGGCGATGTGGCTAAGACTCTGTTGGGGGCTGCAGGCATGCACTACAAACTCTGGCTGACGTTATTTGCCATGTCATCACGGTCAAGAACAGGTTCTTGACGCATGTTGGCGACAAGCGCTGGGTGCCGTACGAGCATTGGCTGTGGGTGTGTGGCTGGATGGGGCCCTAAAGTGCAGGGGCGCAAGCTGGAAGCTGCTGCTGTGTGGGCCGTCCATCTTGGGATGGCTCCTCAAAAGGGCGGCGGATGTGGGACCCCAAGAGCACATTCTAGGATTGTGGCTAAAGTTCAATAGGATAAGGCACTCCCTTACCAAGCCCTACTCCCCTGCAATGAACGGCGTCACTGAGCGAACGAACCGCACAATCACGGAGACGGCAAGCGGGTTGCTCATCGAGGCCGGGCTACCCAACTATTTCTGGCCTGATGCGATGCGGAATGCTTGTGTGGCCAAGAACAGTGCCGTGACTCATGTGGGCAGATAAATGGGTGCCCTATGTGGAATGGATTGGAGGAAACCTAAGGTGGATATGCTTCGGGTGCATGTGCATGGCGCTCGTGCCTAAGCATCTTCGGTACAACAAGCTTGGTGCTAAGAAAAATATGGCCGTGCATTTGGGCATGGCTCAATACAGCAAGGGATGGCTTCTTTGGGACCCATTCACCGAGAAATTCTTGGTGAGCAGGGATTGCAAGTTCATGGAATCTGATGTATAAGGATTGGAAGGCGGAGAATGAGGCGAAGATAGGTGTGCGGATTGGGGAGGTGAAGAGTTTTGGCTCGAGCATGTGGAGCTGCCTTTGGAGCTGAGCAGTGGCAGCACCAACACAAGGCAGTAATCCCTAGTGAATGGGGAGAGGAGGCCAATGATGCAGAGGAAGAGGAGGAGGAGGTGCAGCAAGTGAGCGAGCGTGGACCGACACTTCCTTCTCGCACTACGAGTGCTCACGGATCCGAGTCTCCCCGCAGCAATGCCAAGGCCTTCAAATCCCTGCAGCTGAGGAGAAAGGAAGAGCAAGGGAGAGTCCAACCTCCTTATAGGCTGACATATGATGCGCCGGGAAAGTTGTGGGAGACAGCGTTGACCGGAGCAGCAATGATGTTTGGAGATGACGAAAAAAGCGAGTACAAGGAGTGCGCGTTCGTGTTCTTGTCTCTGGTGGAGATGCCAGGAGAACCAACAACTCTCAAGGGGGCCTTGAATAGTAGTGATGCTGAGGAGTGGATAAAGGCAATAGAGAGTGAGCTGAAGAGCATTGAGGAGAACGACACGTGGAATCGGTGGAGCTACCGGAGGGACGAACGGCGATAACGTCCAGTGGATCTTCAAGATTGAGTCGGACGCCGACGGCAAGATCGAGCGCTACAAGTCTAGGCTTGTAGCCAAAGGGTACCAGCAGAAGGAAAAGGTGGATTTCAAGGAACTGTTTTCTACAGAGATAACTACTACAACGGGAGCTAGACTACGGGCTAGGCACGGGTGCTCGTGTGATCTCAGCGTTCGTTGGTCCTTAGTCGTTTTCCTAGTGCTCACACTGCTTGCTAGTTCACGGGGCAAATTGGCAAGAGTTCCAGTAGAGAAAGTTGACAACAATGGTACAATGAAGTTGGCATGGAAAGACTACATCAGAGCTAGCATTCAGGTCGGTCGACTGCCAGCGCAGCATGGTCGACCGCGTTCCAGCACGACTTGGTCGACCGCGCTCCAGCAATGCAAAGTCAACGAAATGCCAACATTGCAGGTTGACGGTGTGCCAGCGCTGCTCACGCAGAACAGCGGCGCACCCGCTTTGCAGGGTGCTCGCAGGTGATTGGCGGGCTGAGCCTCGTCACCTGCATAACGCACACACCGAGTCAACCTAGCGCTGATGACTGCTTCTGATCAGCCACGTCGACCTCGGGATACCACCACCGAGGTCGGGCTCGCCAACTTCGCCTGGGCGACCGTCGCACTCCTCCGCAGAACCTCGTCACCCAGGTAACCTGGTCGACCGGGCGACTAAGTCGACCAGCTGCTCCCGTACGTGCCCGTCGACCTCCCAAGTCGACGGCCACCTCCATGTCGACCTCACCAGGTCGACCACGCCCCTGGACTCCAGGTCGACGACACTCCTGGTCGACAAGCTCCACGTCGACCAGCTCAGTTGTCAGCCGACCTCCCAAGTCGGCTACCCGAAGTCGGCGTCACGAAGTTGATGCCCAGCTACTCGACGCCGAACTGTTCGGCATCCTGAGTCGAGGTCGACGTCGGCCCCTCTTTCATCAACCACTGCGTCTGGTCGACCTCCAGCAGGTCGACCAGCAGGCGTGGTCGACCAACCACCAGTCGACCAGCAGTCCGTCAGCCGACCACCAAAGTCGGCTGCCCAAGTTGACGTCCTCCCAAGGTCGACTTCCCAGGTCGACCTCCATGAAGTCGGCTTCATACTGAAGTCGACCCCGTGCAGTGGTTCCCGTACAGGTCGACCTCCTCGTCAACCAGCTCGCCCACTGCTGCAAGTCGGCTGCTCTCCTCACACCCGACCACGAAGTCGGCTCCGCCCAAGCGAGGACGGGGTTAAGATACAACTCCCGTTGACACTCCCCTGCCGCGTTCATGCTTGGGCTCCCCCGTCCACACGACAGTGCTCCTCGGAGGATAGCTCGTCGACGTGCACCCTACACACAGCACGTCGTCCACCGCACCAGCCATGCAAGAGGGCATGGCACCTACTCCTGCACGTCGTCAACTGCGTCGCCCACGTCGGCCAAGCGCAGCCGATGGCGACGAAGCACCAATTGAAGGCCAGGTAGTGCAGCGCCTTCGTCAGGAAATCGGCTGGCTGCTCGGTGGTTGGGATGTACCTCAGCGAGAACTTCCCGCGCTTCACCATGTGCTGCAGCCAGGCCTGTCGCCGCTCCATGTGTTTGAGGTTGCCTGTCATCCCCATGCCCTCGGCGACCGTGATAGCCGACTTGTTGTCCACCCGGAGGACAGTCGGCTTCCCACCATCCAGCTGCTGGAACTCTGCGAGGAGGAAGCGAAGTCGAGTCCCTCCTTCCCGGCTTCCGTGGCTGCCACATACTCGGAGTCGGTCGACGACAACGTCGCGCACTTGATGTGATGGCTCGACCAGAAGACTGCGATTCTTGTCAGAATTATGTTTAATTATAACTGCATGTAGTTCTAGCTGTAGTGTAGTTATTAATTTGTAGGTGGTGCACCTCTTCTTTTGTTTCCTATGCTATATGTTCCTTGAACCCATAGTGAAACACATTCTTCCCAACTTTTCTCAACTCACTCGAACTCCTCCCTAGGCACAAAACCCGCTCGATACCTAAGTTGGGCCTAGGCTCCTAAGCCTAGGCCCTAGTTAAAACTTACCTATCTCTCGATCATTTCAACATGTTATCAGAGCGACGTTTGTTCTGGCCTATGCGCCTGCCTCACGTTTCCGCTGCTACGATTTTCCGGTCGCGCGCCTAGGGCGCGTGGCGATTTTTTCTTGTCCCGCCCCCGGTTGGCGTGTGACGCCTTCTCTGCCCGTCGCGCCCCCCGTGGCACGCGACGGTGCCCTTATCCTGCCCGTCGTGCGCCCCGTGGCACGCGACGGTGCCCTGCTCGTCGTGCACCCCGAGGCACACATCGGGCCCTTTCACTTACACTTACCCGTCGTGCGCCCCGTGGCACGCGACGGGCCTTTCCGCCCCTGCTCTCCCTGAAGCCGCCCCTGACCTATCAGCGCCGACACCGTTTAGCCGCTCTGCGGCTTTTCTTCCCGCCCACCCCCTCCTCCTTTGTCTCCCTGCAGCCGTGGGGAGGAGGGTATGGGGTGGCGGGTGTTGGAGTGTTGGGTCGACTCCTTTCCTTCCCCTCCTCCTCCTTTCAGTCCCACCGCTGCAGCTGCCGCTGGGGGGAGGGTGTGAGGGTGTGGGGGAGCAGGGGGAGAGGCACCGGGGTGGCGGGTGTGAGGCAACCAGCAGCCGTCCCTCCACCTCTCCTCTCTTCCCCCCTCTCTGCTGCTCCTGCAGCAGTGTGGGGGAGGGGAAGGAGGAGGGTGAGGAGATGGAGGGGTAACCATTCAAAGTTAGCCCTCCTGCAGTACCTGCTGTTGCTTGTTTTATTGTTCGTTGGTGTACCTCTGCAGCTTGTGCTCTGCACTTAGCTATTCCTGCATGCAGTTACGGGGGGATGTCAGAATTATGTTGAATTATAACTGCATGTAGTTTCTAGCTGTAGTGTAGTTATTAAATTTGTAGGCGGTGCACCTCTTCTTTTGTTTCCTATGCTATATGTTCCTTGAACCCATAGTGAAACACATTCTTCCCAACTTTTCTCAACTCACTCGAACTCCTCCCTAGGCACAAAACCCGCTCGATACCTAAGTTGGGCCTAGGCTCCTAAGCCTAGGCCCTAGTTAAAACTTACCTATCTCTCGCTCATTTCAACAACTCTTCCGTAGACGAACACGTAGCCGCCCGTGCTCGTCCTGTTCTGCGTGTCACCGGCATCGTCGGCGTCCACATAGCCAACCAGCTCCAGTGACTCAGGTCCACCACCGAACTCCAGGGCGGTGTTACGCGTGTTGGCGAGGTAGGCGAGGCAGCGGTCAACCCTCGCGCCAGTGCTGGTCGCTCCTCACCGTGAGGCAGCTCCCCAGCTTGCTGCAGGCGAAGGCAATGTCCGGCCTCGTCGTCGTTGCCGCGAACTGCAGCGAGCCGACCTTCTGCCGGTACTCCTCCTCCTGTCGCTCCTGTGCCTCCTCATCGTCAAAGGTGAGCTCGGCGTAGGCGTCGATCGAGACTGGCGTCTTCGGGGTGCGCCGGTCTGCTCCTCGTCGATCAAGCGCCTACGCAGCTTGTCGGCGTAGCCCTGCTGGTGCAGCCACAGCTTCCCCACCAAGGTACTTCTGCACCGGCGAGATCTCACGTTGCTCGAAGGCGGACTCCAGCAGCTCCTTCAGCTCCTTCGGCATCTCGGTGGTGCTGTTGGCGGCGAGCAGGTCGTCGACGTAGACCAGCACCCAGCAGGCCACTCCGTCCTTGCCGACCTTGAAGTAGAGAGCCTCGCTGACCTGGCTCTTCTTCCACCCGGCGTCGACCAGCATGTCGTTGAGCGCCAAGTACCACAGCAGCCGCGACTGCTTCAGCCCGTACAGGCTCTTCAGCAGCTTGCAGACCCGGACGGTTTCCGTCGTTGAAGTAGTCCGGCTAAGACATCAGGAAGGCGTTCTTCATGTCGAGCTGCATCAGGTTGAGGTTAAGGACGGCGACGATGCTGAGGAAGATCCTCAGCGTGACGTAGCTGCCCACCGGCGCGAACGTCTCGTCGTAGTCGGCACCACCTGAGTGAAGCCCTTCACGACCAGCCTCGCCTTCGCGCGCGCTCGACGTTGTCGTCGACGTGGTACTTCGTCGTCAACACCCACCGGTTCTTCACAACGTTCACCCCCGGGGGGCGTTCGACCAGCTCCCAAGTGCCCATGTTGATGAGGCTGCGGATCTCCTCCTCCATGGCGGCCTTCGCCGCCGGGCCCTTCCAGCTCGCCAAAGCCTCCTTCACCGTCACCGTCATCGTCGAGATGTCCCAACGGTGCTCGAGATCGGCCAGCATGTCAGGGTTGAGCTCCGGAAACTCCTCATCCTCCTCGGTGTCGTCGTACAGCAGTTCGTCGTCATCATCCATGTCGTACACCGTGGTGAAGGCTGCGGGGACGAAGAAGTCCGGCGGCCTCCGGACTCGTCCTGACTTCCGGGTTCCGGCCGAACCTCCACCAAGTCACTCTTGGTAGACACCTCGGCGTCACCTCCGTCGTCACCGTCTCGCTCGTCGTCCTGCTGCTCCTCGGTCGACTTCCTGGTCGACCTCTCCCCTGTGATCCGCTTCCCGGCCAACTGCCTGGTTGCCGACTGCTCCGATGTCGGCTTCAATGCTGCCTCCTCCCCTGTCGCTGCTGCTCCTTGACCTGCTCCTCCCCTATCGACGTTGACTTCAATCGCACGTCGACCTGCCCCTCGTCACGTTGGCCACCAGCGATGCCCTTGGCCGGGGCCAAAGGCGACGTCCCACTACTCCCCTCATCGTCGTAGGCCGACATAGGAGTCGGCCCGTGCAAGTTGGCCACGAGGAGAGGGGCAGTGGTCGCAAGGGAAGGTGGGGGAGGATGGACGACCTCGGCGTCCTTGTCAGCAGACTCTCCGACCTCGTCGAGCAAGGTCGCGTCGCCATTGAGTTATCGGTCGGCGGAGTGGGTGGCGTCAGACCTGACACCGGCCTGTGCTCCAACTTCCACACCTCCAGCGACATATCCTCGTAGAACACCACATCCGACGTGGTGACCACCCGGTTGGCGTCGATGTAGAGGAGCTCCCAGCCCTTGCTCTCCCCTGACACGCCAAGGTGAAGGCCCCACCTGGCCTTCGGCTTCAGCTTCCCACGCCGCTGCTGCTCGGGACAAGGAGCTGCGACATGCAGCCCCACACCCGCACCATCGACAAGTTAGTCTTGTGGCCAGTCAGCAGCTACTACGACGTCGTCCCCGACAGCAGAGTCGACCTCTCAAGGTAGTTACGGACCCAGACGGCCTGCCGCAGAGCAAGGTGCCACAAGTGGTGCTGCACGCCCATGTGCAGCAGCATCGTCCCCACCGACTCCACCACCGTCCTCATCTCCTCACTCTGCCATGCCGTTCTGCTGCGGGGTGTACGGGCAGGTAAGGTCCTGGATGATCCCCTTGCCGTTCACAAAGTCGGTGAACTTCTTCCCGAGGAACGCCCCTCCTCGGTCGGAACGAAGCATCAGCACCGACTTCTTCGTCTGCCTCTCCACCAACAACAGCCACTTCTGGAACTCCAGCAGCACATCCGACTTCTTGGCGACCGGCCTCACCTACACGTAGCGGGTCTTGCGGTCCTTCAGCAGCATGAAGTATAGGCTGCCGTCCTTGGCAGCCACGCGGAACGGCCTGCACGGGTTGATGTGCACGACGGCAAGCACGTCGTCGGCGTCGGAGCCGTGGTCGGGGAAGGTGTGCCGCGCCAGCTTCCCACCAACGCACGAGACACACGGTGAGTCACCGCCCGTCGCCGACTCGAGGTCCAGCCCAATGGCGACCTCGTTCTTCGCCGAGCTCCTAATGTGTCCATGCCGACGTGCGCAAGTCTCGCGTGCATCTCGTCCAGCGTCGAATTCGTCTTCGAGACGATCGCCCGTAGGGCCACAACCTCCGTCGTCGCGACGTCAACCTCGTTGAGCAAGGATGCAGGTCGGTGCAGAGGACACGCACGGAGTATGTCGCCCGGCTGAGCACCTCTCCTGCTTCCCAGGCGAGCAGCATCCCGTCGCCGTCCTCCTGCCGCTTCACGCCATGCTCCTTCAGCTGGCCGGACGACAGCTGGTTTGCCCGCACACCCGGGACGTACGCACACGTCGGGGATGAGCACCTGCTTTCCGGCCTCCCCTTGCAGGGTGACACAGTGCCGCGGCCATGGACGTCCTGCAGCGCCCCATTGAAGTCGCGCACGTGCTTGATGGAGCCGCTCGGCTGCAAGTCGACGAAGACTTCCTTCATCCCATCAGGTGGTGGGAGCAGCCGCTCTCGAGCACGACCACCGCCGGGTTTGCCTGCACAGCTGCTGCCACTGCCTGAAAGTCCTCTCCGTCCTCCGGCGCCAGCGAGACGGTCGGCTCCACGATGGCGACCAGCGAGCACGACGCCGTCTTGTCGTCCCGCGCCTTGCCGCCAGCAGAGGAGTCGGCGTCCTTTGCCGAGGTCGATCTCGTCGACTGCTTCTCCTTGCGCGGCTGGTTTTCCTCCTCGACGAGGACGACGGTTGCCAGACCTCCTGCGGCCTCCCTTGGCGTCGTCATCGTCGGAGTCACTGCGGCCGGGGCACTCGAAGGAGAGGTGTCGGGGTCGCAGCACAACCAGCACTCCCGACGTCCACCTCCTCCTCTTCGACCGCTGTCCTTGGTCGACTTCTTCTTGTCGACCTCCTTGGCCGGCTTCCAGCCACTGCTACCACCGCCGCTAGACTGTCCGCGTTGCCCCGGTCGGCCACCTTGCTTCGCCGGGCGAGGAAGTTCGCCTGCGCCAAGAGCTCCCGGGATCGCTCTGCCTCCTGCATCGCCTCGTCCTGCAGGATGTACGAGGAGGTCAGGTTGTCCTCGTTGAGCGTTGACCTCATGCTCGGTGCCATGGACAGCCGCTTCAGCAGGTTGTAGCTCCTTGAGAGTCCCTGCATGACGTAGGCGACGTACGACGCAGTCGAGTCCTGCGCGCTGGCCATCCCGATGGTGGCGAGAATTCGTCGGCCCGTTTGCAGTTTCGTCGGGCCGCTGTCTCCTCATCGCCCATACGCATGTGCATCTGCTGCCCCTCTAGCTGGGCGACGAACAAGTCGTCGGTGCCTTGGTAGGACGACTCAATAAAGTGCCACGCCCGGTGGCCGGCGTCGAGGTTTTCTCGGCACCACTTCAAGGCGATCTGCACACCCAGTGAGCAGCACCGCGAGATTACCGTAAAAGTCAACGGCTGCACGGCGCGGAACTCCGCACGCAAGTCGGCGTGATGCTCCTCCGGCGTCGCCACTGTCCCTCGGACGAAGCCGATCAGCCTGGCCATCTCCAGCTGGGGCTTGATAGCTTCCTTCCAAGTGAGAATGTCTTGTTGACCAGTGAGCGGTGGGGTGACCAGGATCCTGTCCGGCATGAACTTGAAGTAGCCGTAGCTCGGAGAAATCCGCTTCGTCGACCTCCGACATCGCCCTGCGAGGATCCTGCAGCCGCCGACGACTGCCTTCCTCGTGCCTGAACGCCGCCGACTTCATCGGCGTGAATCACACCTCTCTGCCTCGACGTGCCTCCCGACTACTACCGACTTGGCCACCTCCGGTGTTGACGACCACGTCGACGCCGCCTTCGTTGGTCACCGGTCGAGGAGAAGCCGGTCGAGAAGGGGGATGCTCCGTCGCCCACATGGAGCGGAGTCCAGCCTCGACGACCGCCCAGGGTATCGCCCCATACTCTTGGGCCTCATGGCGTCTCCTCGCATCGTCCAGCCGTCCCTCCAGGGTGTCCATCACCTCTGTGTCACCTACGCGCACGCTAGGGACTGTACGGCTGCCGGCCTATGAACAACTTAGGTAGGTGGCCTCTACGTCGACCTGACTGAAAGGTAAGTCGTGTGCCGTCCACGCTCACCGCACCATGCGGAGATAACTACTACAACGGGAGCTAGACTACGGGCTAGGCACGGGTGCTCGTGTGATCTCTACGTTTGTTGGTCCTTAGTCGTTTTCCTAGCATTTACACTTCTTGCTAGTTCACGGGGAAATTTGGCAAGAGTTCCACTAGAGAAAGTTCACAAGAATGGTACAATGAAGTTGGCATGGAAAGACTACATCAGAGCTAGCATTCAGGTCGGTAGACTGCCAGCGCAGTATGGTCGACCGCGTTCCAACACGACTTGGTCGACCCGCCTCCGGCAGTGCAAAGTCGACGGCGTGCCAACATTGCAGGTTGACGGCGTGCCAGCGCTGCTCACGCAGAACAGCAGCGCACCCGCTTCGCAGGTGCTCGCAGGTGATTGGCGGGCTGAGCCTCGTCACCTGCACAACGCACATACCGAGTCAACCTGGCGCTGATGACTGCTTCTGATCAGCCACGTCGACCTCGGGATACCACCACCGAGGTCGGGCTCGCCAACTTTTCCTGGGCGACCGTCGCACTCCTCCGCAGAACCTCGTCACCCAGGTAACCTGGTCGACCAGGCGACCACGTCGAACAGTTGCTCCCGTATGTGCCCGTCGACCTCCCAAGTCGACCTCACCAGGTCGTCCACGCCCTTGGTCGACCACTCCAGGTGTACGTCACTCCTGGTCGACAAGCTCCACTTCGACCAGCTCAGTTGTCAGCCGACGTCGGCTACCCAAAGTCGGCGTCACGAAGTTGACGCCCAGCTACTCGACACCCAACTGCTCGGCGTCCTTAGTCAAGGTCGACGTCGGCCCCTCCTTCGTCGACCACTGAATCAGGTCGACCTCCAGCAAGTCCACCAGCAGGCCTGGTCGACCAAGCATTAGGTCGACCAGCAGTCTGTCAGCCGACCACCGAAGTCGGCTGCCCAACTTGATGTCACCAAGTTGACGTTCTCCCCAGGTAAACTTCCCAGGTCGACCTCCATGAAGTCGGCTTCATACTGAAGTCGACCCCGTGCAGTGGTTCGCGTGCAGGTCGACCTCCTCGTCAACCAGCTCGCCGACTGCTGCAAGTCGCTGCTCCACTCACACCTGACCACGAAATCGGCTCCGCCCAAGCGAGGACGGGGCCAACACACAACTCCCGTTGACATTTTATCCTGTGGAGAAGCGGACAACGCTGCGGACCCTACTCGCGGGGGCTGCCATCAAATGGGTGGTGACACATATGGACCTGACAACCGCATTCTTCAACGGCATTCTCGAAGAAGAGATTCTCTTGGTGTAGCCAGAGGGGTTTGATAATGGGAGTGGCAGAGTTCTGACGCTGAAGAAGGCCCTCTTTGAGCTCAAGCAAGCCCCTAGGCAGTGGTACTTGAAGCTGCGAGAAGTTTTGGAGGAGATCGGCTTCACTCCCTCAACGGCCGATCATTGCTTGTTCATGCTTGGCGAAGGTGAGTAGAGGAGCTTCATAGTGGTGTACGTGGATGAAATCCTCGTATTCTTACCCTCCTCTGACCTTGTAGAGGAGGTGATGCCGAAGCTTCATGACAAGTTCAAGTGCAAGGCGCTTGGCGACGTGAACTTCTACCTCGGGCTCCACATCGAACGCGATGTGGAGAAGCGGTGCATGCGAGTGCACCAACGGAAGTACCTTGAAACCCTGGCTGCCGAATTTGGGCTTAGTGAAGGGCATGTGGCTACACCTTTTCCCTCTGGGTTCAAGTGTGTGAAGGGACCAGAGGAGGAGAGCTTCGGTGAGAGGAGAGGCGCCGTTTTCACTCGTTGGTGGGCAGCCTCATGTTTGCGGCAGTAAAGACTCGGCCGGACGTTGCCTTTGCTACCGGGCAGCTGGCAAGGGTTGTACAATGCCCTAATGAGGAGCAGGTAGCAGTTGAAATGAGGGTGGCCAAGTATCTTGGCCAAACATCAAGCATTGGGCTGCAATAATCGGCGGCGGTACAAAGGCGCCAAAAGTGCGCAGATGGTGTAGAGCCCGGGCGTTTGTTCCTCACCGCCTACTCGAGTGCTCCATATGCATCGGAACCAGAGGACATGACAAGTGTGGGAGGCTTCATATGCTGTGTTGGTGGAGGCCCAACAGTTTGGGAGAGCAAGAAGCAGGTTGATCAAGCATTGAGCTCGGTGGAGTCCGAGTACATGGGCACTCTTCCGTGCCGTACGGGAGATTGTGTGGCAGCGGCGTTTGTTGGCTGAATTGGGGGAGGAGCAGCAAGGATCTACCCCTCTCTATTGTGACAGCCAGGGTGCCATTGCACTTGCTAAGAACCCCATGTTGCATGGCCTCACCAAGCACGTGAGGGTGAAGTGGCACTGGACGAGGAGCATGGTGGCCGCGGGTGAAGTTGAGCTGGACTATGTGAAGACAAGAGGCAGCCAGTAGACATGATGTCCAAGAGGCTGGTGGAGCAGCAGCATTAGAAGTGTTGCAAGCTGGCTGGGATGGCTCTGAACTGAGAGGAGCAGACCATAAGGCCAAAATCCGAAGGGGAGTGTGTTGGTGCAACTCTACGGTTTGCACTCATGCTTATAATAGTATGTTAATGATGAGTCGTTATGTCGAATATGTGTGTGTCGAGTCAATAGCAAGTCATCGCTAGTCACGTGTCTACGTCATCGTTTGTGTGTCTCGCGCAATTTCTATTTCAACCGTTTGTGTGTCCCGCACGGTTTCTTTTTATCGTAGGTGCGAACGTTCGGCTTGTCGCAGTGTGTGCAGAAGACTCATTATGAACCCAAGGATGAGTTTATGATGAAGAACCAGAACCATGGTTTCAAGATTCAAGTGATCGCGAAGCCAGCGAAAAGGGTACCTCAAGATATTGAGAATAGTTACATTACTTAGTGTAGTGTAACATTACACTTGGTGTAGGCCCTTTTGAATGGTATTTTCGAACCCTTCGTGATTGGGGACAGTGTGGCACTGTTCCACATCACTTTACCTCGGCTGTTGGGGTTTGTAGGAGCTGGGAGTCATTCCCAACTCGTAACTCTTCCTAAGTTGTGTTCTAAGATTATAGTTGCTGCTATAGTGCCGTTCGTTCAACCGACGTTGGAACGTCAATACTTGATGAAATAGTGTGATCAAAATTGCCTATTGTAGGCGACATTAAGACGCTCCAGATAGAAGTTGAATCAGGTCATTTGAAGCTGTGACTAGAACGCTATGAACGTTTAAAGCCGCTGTGCAGAAATCCGACTGCGCACTCTATCTTTCGTATAAGGCACATTTGAGCCTACTGTAACTATAACAGTGCCGAACAGGAATTCTGGCATGGAGCGATCGGTAGCCTCACGATCGCTGACCCGATGTCGATAAGTCGATGTGAAGCTGCGGCCGGCAAAATCCAAGAAATGTGCGCAGCCAGACATCTGTTATAGTCACAGTAGGCTCAAATGTGCCTAAATTATAAGTTGGAGTGCACACACTGATTTTCGCACTGCAGCTTTAAACGTTCATTGTTAGAGGTCCACTGGTGATCTCCGATTGATCCTAGGGAAGGGTTACAGGCATGTTGGCCTGGGTGGTTATGGGCGCACTAACCTGCTACTTAACAAGCCCTTTTATCCCAATGGTCTAGTGGTTGGGATTCTGACATGTTATCAGAGTGAAGGTCTCGGGTTCGAATCCCGGTGTGTGTACTTCGGGCATCCCAGTGCGGGGGGGTGTGAGAGGTCCACTGGTGATCCCCGATTGATCCTAGGGAGGGTTACAGGCATGTTGGCCTGGGGGGTTATGGGCGCACTGACCCCTACTTAAACAAGCCCCTTTATCCCAGTGGTTAGTGGCTGGGATTCTGACATGGTATCAGAGCAAAGGTCTCGGGTTCGAATCCCAATGTGTGCACTTCGGGCATCCCAGTGCCGGGGGGTGTTAGAGGTCAATTGGTGATCCCCGATTGATCCTAGGGAAGAGTTACAGGCATGTTGGCCTGGGGGTTATGGGCGCACTAACCCGCTACTTAACAAGCCCTTTTATCCCAATGGTCTAGTGGTTGAGATTCTGACATTCATAGCGTTCTGATCACAGCTCCAAATGATATGCTACAAATTGGATCTGAAGTGTCTTG